CGATGATGGTGATGATGCTGCTGCTGATGATGATGATGACCCGTATGCTTATGATGATGCTGATGTGGATGGTGATGATGATGATGCTGGTGATGTTGGTGATGATGGTGATGGTATGGTGATGGTGGGGGTGATGGTGATGGAGATGGTGATGGTGGCGGTGATAATGATGATGATGATGATGATGATGATGATGATGATGATGATGATGATGATGATGATGATGATGATGATTATTATTATCATGCTGCTGCTGATGATGATGCGAATGATGCTGATGGTAATGCTGATGGTGGTGATGATGGTGAAACGCTCCCCGATAGGTTTCCGTGAGCACCGAACTGGGCACATAACGCCAGATACTATGCTGATCATGGTGAGGTTGTTGTAAATGATGCTGATGATGATGATGATGATGAGGAGGAGGAGGAGGAGGAAGAGGAGGAGGAAGAGAAGAAGGACGAGGCCGAGGATTACGAGGAATACGAAGACGAGGAAGAGGAGGACGAAGTGGGGAGGAGGAGGAGTAGGAGGGGGAGGAGGAGGAGGAGGAGGAGGAGGAGGAGGTGGAGGAGGAGGAAGCGGAGGAGGAGCGAGCGACCGTCGGCGACGCGCGTGCATCGAGCGTTGGCGGGGAGAGGCGCGTAGTCGATGGTGGTATCGAGCGGGGCGTAGTCAAGGAAGGCAGCCTCCACGTGGCCCACAATTTTGATGGATGGGGCGGCCGTCCTCACTGCCGATGAGGGCGAGGCCGTCCAGCGGCTGGAGCGAGGAGTCCTCGGCGGGGATGTCCATCGCTTCGAGGATGTCGGAAGCGGTGGCTTCCATGTCGTCGGCCAGCTCGAGGGCACTCGTAGCAGGACCAGGGGGATCGCAATCATGATAAAAAAGGCGAGCTGGCCATGCCCCCGTCGGCGGCGACGCAAAACGGGAATAGGGCAATGCTGAGGAGGCTGCACACTGTCCTGCCTCTGTCAAGGTGGCATGAAGCACCGAAGCGCCGCTTTTACATCCACAAGAGACATCAACAGACGAGCGACGTGCTGCCATGAGCCAGCGGAGAACGGCACGATCAGCACCAGGTGGCTGCGGGTCCGATGAGCTGGCAGCAAGCAGTGCCGAGGATGGGGTGTGTGGTGGCGACGTGGAGGCGGCAGACGCCTCCTTGTGCCATTCACGTCGAAACCGTAGCTGTAATCAGAGTTGGACATGATATCGTCCTCGGGCAAAGGGGAGGCTCTACCTCTATATCGTGCACAGCAACTTCGTCCATGTCATCGATGTCCGCCGCCGTGGGCGATGGGTAGTCACGGCCTTCACCCGTAGCAATCACAGTGCGCCGCCGTGACGAACCAGGGGGGGGCTCGGGCTAGGGCTGGACGAAGACGGGGGAGAGCGGAAGGGTGGTGGGATAGGAACGATGTCCAGGTCGTCCACGCTGGGAGCGTCACAGAGATGCGGAAGAAGGACACATCACACGGCTGGCAGGCCATCGCAGACCCCTTGGAGATCGCGAGCACGAAGCGAGAAGGCCACGCGGGAGGCAGCGGGTCGCCAATCAAGGCGCCTGGCCAGACAGAGCGCGCTGCCGCGCCTGACGGGCAGCGTGGGCGCTCTCAGGGAACAGCGCGCGAAGGTTGCGCCGAGGAGTTGCGCGCGGTATGTCCGAGGAGCACCACGCACCGACAGTGATCCCCGCCGCCGCTTGACGACGCTGATCAGAATCGCGCACGCGGGCGCAGCGGAAGAAAGGCCGAGAACTGGGGCACAGCGAAGGAGGCCGTAGACGCACTGGGAGCATCAGTCCAGCTGCAGCTGGGAGGCCCCCGCCACCCGCGCTGACGAAGGAGAGCTCGGGGAGCCAGCCGCTCGCCCAGATGGCCAAGCTCGAGCGCGCCTTCCGCGCCGTGGACAGGGGGGGGGGCGCCCGACAGCCGGACGCGACCACCCAGGATGGGCGTCGGCCTCGGGGCGACGCGAAGGGGGCGCCAGCCCCGAGCGCGCACGAGCTTGGCCCAGCGCCAGTCGTTCTCGGACTGCTGCTGAGCAGCAGGGAGGCGGCGACCCAAATCGCCCAATCGCGCAGATACCCACGCGCTCGTCGCCTGCGTCGCGCAGGGAGACGCGGTCGAGGTCGGGGAGCAGACGCTGGCGCTGCACGAACTGGGCCCGCCGCGAGGGCCAGAAAGCGCACGGGGAGACGCGCTCGTCTTGGGAGAGGCAGCGCGGGATCCGCTGCTCGGCGACGCGCAACCGAGCACCCTCGAGGAGCTCGCGGGCGTCGCGCTCGGCCTCCGGCTCAGCGCGCGACGAGCCCACCGGCAGGGGGAGCCCTGCGAGCGATGAGAAGGCGCCAGCGTCAAAGTTGACGGCGACTGCCGGGACGCCGGGGGGCGCCAGCAGACGGCGAGCCGCGCGGCCGCTGGGCGGAGGCTCTGGGGGTCGAGCGGGCGGCGTGAAGCTGTTGGCGGGGAGGCCGGGCACTCGCGGGAACGACAGAGAGGACCCTGGCGAGAAAGTTGTCGTCTGAGCCGCTTTCGTCGATGGCTGGCGACGGGCTGCCGCGACGCGGGCTGGGGTTTGCGCGCTCGGCGGGAGCTCGTGAAGGTGCCTCGAGGTCGGGGGCGCGCGCCTCGTCGGGTTGGGCCGGCTCCTGGCCGGCATGGTCTGGCGCCGCGTCTCGGAGGTGCTGGCGCGCAAGTCGGCCGCGCGCTGCCGGTTGCCCGGCCCAAGCCGCGACATGGCAGACGTGGCCCTTCTTCTGGCAATTCGGGTGCGAAACCAGATTTCCTCGCAGATGTCCCAGGCCCGATCCCAGAGACTGCGGGGCGCGCTGGTGGGAAGGGGGCCGATGGGGAGGTTGAGATTGATGGCGCGCGGGCTGTCCAGGAAGATCGCAAAACATGGGGCGCGCCAGTCAATCCAATCGCCTAAATCGGCCCAGCTTTCGCCATTCGCCATGAAGAACCACTGCTCTGCGAACGACCCCAGGTTAGTGAGCGTTCGCCATGCCTCGACATTCCGTTGACCGATGGGGCTGTCGAGAAGGAGGCTTAAACATCGCCGGACGAGCAAGCTGGCGGACCGGGGCGCGAGGCCCGCCACCAGCGGGGGGCAGGCGAGCAAGATGGGGGGTGGGAAGGACAGGGAGGGATGGGCTAGCGCGCCCGGGGCAAGGGGCTCGGCATTGCCAGGGGCCCGATGATCAGCATGAGGCTCATCTCGAGCTGGGGTCGGACGAGCAAGATGGCGGGGGGGGGCGTGCTGGTTGGCGGGGGTCAGGCGCGCTGGGGCCATCGGCTCCACCGGGGGGCCTGCTGCGCGGCGAACTGCGGCCGCGGGTGGAACAGGTGATCGGCTGGAGGCGGGGGCGAGGGAGATGATGAGGCGTTCGAAGACGACGAGCTCGGACCAGACGCGGCGCCGAGAACGGTCGGCCATCGGGGCGCGCGAGAGCGAGGCGGCGCCGAGAACGGCCGAGCGGAGAGACCAGCTTTTGACGCGAGCACTGGCGAAATGCGCAGGCCAGATGCACGACGGGGCCGCGCTCGACGCAGAGATGCAAGCGCAGTGCAGAGCCACTGCGCCGAGGAAGACCTCGTCCAACTCGACGGCGCTGCCCAGCGAGCCCAGCCCACCCAGCGGGCGAGAAGTGCGCGAGACGCCGGGGGCGCCCTCGCTGCGACGCCTGAGAACGTAGCGAGGGAGCTGGTCGACGTGCTGGGCGCAGCCGAATCGGCGCTGGAGTGGCGCTGGAGTCCGCCGAGAGAATGCGAAGCGAAGTGCCCCGGCCACTCGGCGCTGCCGCTGTCTCTCGGCGTCGGCGAAGGCCCGCCCGGGCGGCGGAGCAGCCGCGGAGGCGCCTGCAGACGTGCGCCCGGCGTCCCGCGGGCACTCGGGAAGCGCCGCCCTCGCGCGCGCGTCGGGGAAGGACTTGGCCGGCTGCGCAGTGGAGAGGTTCCACCTTGGGAAAAGGGGCAAGAGCTGCCCTGGCCCTGCGAGCACTGGCACGCGGCAGGCCCTTTCCAGCGCTCTGGCCCGCCAGCGCCTCTTCAGCAAGTGCCTTGGCCGCGATGAGACGAGGCGAGGGGTGCGCAGGGGGGGGCCTGGGAGACCGCGACGGCACGATGGAGAGCGCCGACGAACGGCTCGCTGCGCCAGGACGAGGGGCACGGGCTCCGATTTGCAACTTGATCAAGAGGGCCAGGCTCGCAAATAAGAGCACGCTGCATGTGCATCCACTCGTAGAGACCAGCTTACATTCTGGGATTGTCTGCAGAGCCGCGCGAAGCCAAGGGACCGCGCTGAGCGCCGGCCACAACGGAATAAAGAGGGCCGTCCGCCACTCTGAGCCGGCACCAGGTCGGCTTGCCGAACGCCCCGAGCGGGAGGCGGAACGACCGAGCAAGAACTGCGAGTTCATCCTCGAGGGGCCGCGGGGGCATCATCCGGCATTGCGCAACGTAGGACAAGACTGCGGTGACCCTCATGCTGCAGTTGTTCGCAATTCGGGGGACCGCAGTGGGGGCCGCGGCCGATCATCTTGGCGCGGGCCTGCGATTTCAGGGCCAGCGCAGTCTAGCGCAATGAGTGATCGGGAGCGGGGCCCAGGACGAGGCCGAGGTGCATCGGCGAGCCTGCGATCTGGATCTTCTCGATGAAGGGGGCAAGCTCGCGGAGCTCCGCGCGGACTGCTTCGCGCGCGACTTCAGAATCAGGGCCGCGTCGGGGCGCGAGCTCGCGCCCGGGGGGCTCGAGCACTGGCGAGGCGACCTTCTCGGCGGCAATCGCGACGTCTGCGGGGGGAGGGGCGAGGGGCCGCGCCCCCCTCCCTGCTGCGCCAGATCATCATCGGCGCAGGCGCGAGCAAGTCCACTGCGCGGAGTCTTCAGACGGCCTCGAAGATCCACGAGGAATGGGGGCCGCGACAGCAGCGTCGATCGCGCCGCTGAGCGCGCGGCCCTGCAGTGCGCCAGAAGAGGCCCACCAAGCGCGCCGGGGGGCGTCGTTGACCGTGGCGACTGCCTGCGGCGCGGAGCAGAGCTGGCCAGCGCTCGAGGAGAAGGCGCGGAGGGGCGCCCACGGCCCGGGCGACCATCAGCGCGAATTCTGGGGAGAGGCCAGGGAGAGGCAGCACCGAAGGCGAGAGCGATCGGCGCGGGGCAGGGCGGCGAGGCGGCCGCGGAGGTGGAGCACGCCCTGCCGACGACGGCCAACTCGAGCACGCCCACGCCGAAGCCCCCCCGAGGAGTAAGAGCCGCGCCGAGAGCGCGGGGCCCCGTCCCGCGACGAAGAGCCGCTGCCCGCCTTCGCCGCGGCGCCGATGGCGTCGGCGCCCGTGCCGCGCGCGCCGGGGCTGCGAAGGGCAGGCGGCGCGCGCCCGCCGCCCGCCGCGATCGAACCCTCGGCCCCCGCCACTCCTCCTCCTCCTCCTCCTCCCCTCCTCCTCCTCCTCCTCCTCCTCCTCCTCCTCCTCCTCCTCCTCCTCCTCCTCCTCCTGCGCATCTTTGCGACTTGGGGGGCCAGACCTGGAGCGCGTCATTCGCGCCCTTGAAGGGCGCTTGACCTGGGGGAAACCGCGCCAGGGTGCCAGAGGAGACGCCGAGGCCGACCTCCGACGCGCACCACGCTGGGGAAGGGGCGACATCGAGTCCGGGCTCGGAGCGGCGGAGCCCCCCGGAGATCGTCTCGGGGCCCCAGGGGGGGGGGCGGCGGCGCGAGAAGTCCGGCTCGGCAGCGTGCCCGGCGATGCAGGAGGCAGCCAAGGCGTCGCCCATCGGCTCGGCCCGAAACGCGGGGGCCCAATGATTCGGAAGGGGATCGCGCATTCCAGATTGATCAGAAACTACGTCGGACTCATCGCCCAAGGCTTTGATACCATTGAGCACCGCGGGAATGGGGCGGGGCGACCGGATGGCAGCGTTGTGCTCCGGCGCCTGGAGCTGGCGCCGGAGCCGTTGGGGGGGGCGAGGGGCCGCAAGGCGTTTCCCCGGCTGCCGACGCCGAAATTCCGCGCGGCGAAGCTGAACCGATGCAGGCCATCTCTGCAAGGAGGGGGGGCGCGCCAGCGCGGGGGAGAAAGTCCGCGCCAGCGGGGCAGTTGGCCCTCGGCGTCGACGCAGGCGAGGCGCCGCGCCTCCGCGCGGCGCGCGGCGCCTGCCTGGCGAAGAAGAGCTGCGATCCAAGTGATTTCAAGCGCGTGGCGGAGCGCCTGGTCGCGGACTTCGCGTGCACATTCGCGGATGGCCCACGTGGAGTTCCACGCGTCGAGGAGATGACCTGTTCCGAAGTCCAGCTTCGCGGCCGCGAGTTCGAGGGGGGGCTTGGAGGCAGCCGACTCAAGGATGCGTCGCGGGGCGCGCTGGAACTCGGAGGGCTCGGGCCCCGCTGCGAGAGCTAGCAGACTTCAGCGGCATGGTCACACACCAGTTGTTCCGCCAGAGCTCCGGGGTGGCCGACGACTTTCGGCCCCGAGGTAAGCCGGCAGAGGGCTCGGCCAGGAAGACTGATCCAAAACGCGTGAGTTATCGAGACGGAGCGCGAGCCAGCGTCGCACTGAGCGGGCTTGTCCGAAGAGCTCTCCGCGAGGGGCCCGAGTAGCTTCGGCCGCTGGGGAGCGCGAGCGCGCCGCGCCTTGCCTGCGGCAGCTGGGCGATGCGGAAGGTGAAGGAGAAGCGGAGACGAGGGCGCGAAATTGAAGTCCCCGCGAACGACCGACACAACCTGCAAAGGATTGGCGCGAGCTTCAGCTGCATCGCGCTCGACAGCGCCGCCCGCCGCGCCCGAGCCCGCAGGCGAGAGCTCGAGATTGCGCGCGCTGCAATCAATGAACAGGCATTCGCGGCAACCAGATACTACGCGCAGCAACCGCCCGTGAACCGGGGCCCTGGACGAAGTAGCCGCGGGGCGCGGGGGGAATGGCGGCCGTTCCTCCTCGAATGAAGGGGGGCTGGATAAAAAGAAAAAGACTTGGAGCTCGGGTGCAACTCTGCTCCGCAGTTCACGCAGCTGCGTCTCGCCCTGGTGAGCGCCTCGAAGGGGGGCGGCGCCACTGGAGAAGTCGATGCGCCTGAGATAGAAGAGCTTCGCAACTGCGCGGGCGCCACGGCATTGCAAGACAGCCCCAGCGTTTCACGAAAAGAAGACATCTTCCGTCGACCGACACAAGGGCCACGCACCATCTCAGCAATTGGGTCAAAGATTCCACTCAAGAACTTTAAGAGGGACGACGATGGCGCGCGCTGCAGCGACGAGGTCATGTTTGGGGAGTTCGAGCGTCGCCGCGATGTTGTCAGCGCAGTTGTGGTCAGAGGGCGAGTTGCCCGGGTTGGGGCAGATGCGGAACACGGCCCCCCAGCCAATCATGATGCAGCCGCGGTCCTCGTCGAAGAACCACTTAGACGATGGAGCAGCTTCTTTGTAAGCGTCGCGGACCTTGCGTTCTTGGGCTTCCATGCGCACTTGCTTCGGGCCGATGTGAAAGGAGGTGCTGAGTGCGTCAGTGGTTTCCACTTCGAAGCGCTTTCACTGGCCAGGGGCAAGACGCTGGGCACCGGGGACCTTGGAAGCGAACAAGACGCTGCACGCCTTTCCTTTTGGGAGGAACGTTCCGGAACGCTACCATCAGAGCGAGGCTCGGGAGTAGCAGTGCCAGCCTCGGGAACCTTGTTCCTGCGCTTGCTCTTGCCAAAGGTCGCAGGGGGGCTGCGCACACCATCGGGCATCGGCGTGCGCTGGCGGCGGGGCGCTGTGGGCGGCACTTGGGAGCCAGCCGCGGACCTGCGTCTCCACTTTGCCACTGGGTGACATGAAGACTTTCGACAAAACTGCTACGGAGTAGGAGTAGGAGGAGGAGGAGGAGGAGGAGGAGGAGGAGGAGGAGGAGGAGGAGGAGTAGTAGTAGTAGTAGGAGGAGGAGGAGGTGGATAATAATAGTAATGGTAACCGTAAGAGTAGTAATAAGAAGAAACAAAAAATAACCATAATGCCCCTAGAGGATGCCCCAGTGGGCCCTCCCCGCGGTCACTCCAACCTCCTCCCAGCCCAGCGAATCAATTGACTTTTTTCATCGCGCTCCCCTCTTTTGCCCTCTGCGTTGCTTGCCTGCTTCTCATCCTCGTCCTGCGTCCCTCGGCCCTCCCTCCCTCGTGCTCTCCTACTTCTCCCAGTTCCGCGGCCTCTCTCGCACCTCTCACCCGTCCCCGCCCTCAGATCAGACGTCGCTTGTCCAGGTCTGCTTGGTGGGGGGCGCGGTGTCAGATTACGGTCAGGAAGGTTTGCTTAGCGCGTCGCGCCGCCGGTTCTGGCCCACCACGCCTCGGCGCGATTCGTTATCCATATCCCAGTCCCCAAGCGTCAACGCCCCGAGTTTTTCCCGACCTCCCGCCCCGCGGAGCGGGGACAGGCGCTGTCCACTCGCTCGCAAGGCATATCGTGTCGCTGGGGCCGCCGCCGCCACTCGCTAGGCAGAAGTGCTGGGCCGTGACTGACTGGGGGTGTCAACCCGTACTCTGCGGGGCTCGCGGGGATTGCTCGGAGGCGGCGCCAGCTGCCCCTGGCCCGCTTGCCCGACAAGGTCGGCGGGCCCAGCGACGGCGCCCGATTAGATCACACCGGAATCACTACAGAATACTCGATATCGTAAATTAAACGGGCGGCGAAAATTATAATCGATTGCAGTAATTGACGTTCCGAGGAAAAAAACACGGCGGTCAAGCATCAAATCTCGTGTTAATCGGTCCGAATTCCCAATAAAAAACTGCCGGCGATTATTTTAGAAATCACTCCGATTTCTTTCCGACGGTATCGTCTTGGTAAGTCAGTATTTAAATCAACTAAAAATGCGCAAGAATATTAAAAAAGCGCAAACGCGCGGAAAATAGAAATAAGCAAGAATATTAAGCGAAAAATGCGCACATTAAATAAACTAAAAATGAGCGCGCGCAAACGCGCAGGCGCTCACAGGCGCCCGCATGCGCTCTCCGGCGCCCCCTGGGGCACTCGCAAGCGCCCGCGAGCGCGCGCGGGCGCTCCCAAGCGCCGGAGCTTGCAAACTCATATGAAAAACCAAGCATGGGGAACAGCCAACAAAATGGCAGCGGGCTCGCCGGCCCAAATCAGTTCAAAATGGCGGCGGCGGGGGAGGGGGGCGCCCATTCAGTACTGCAGTGAGCACCGAAGAAACCGGAGTGATCCGATTAGGTGGCGACGTCGGAACCCTACGCCCGCCGCCCGTCGAGTTGCCCGAATCGTGGATCGGCGAGGGTGGGGTTCGGATTTCGGCCTGATGCACCGTCTCCCCCAGGCTCCGTGCGCATTTCTAAGTGTGCTCGTTTCTAGCTGTTCCGGGCCCCCCCGTGGCCAGGAAGAGGCCCAGGATAGAACTCTCAGAAAGGAAAGGATGTTGGCCCCCAGAAAATCCAAGAACTCTCGAAGAACTAGAAACGAACAGTGTGTACCGCTCACACACACATGCGTTCCTTTTCCTGTGCAAGCTTCTCAGCACCGCCTGCACCCCGCGCCCTCCGGCCGCCTGAGGCCCCGCCCGCCTGTGCTCTGTCTCCCCAATTCGTGCTTTGCGCGGCACGCCTGGCTCTTAACTGGAAGAGGCTCGCTCTCGACCCGCAGATCAAAAAGTGTACCGCTCACACACTCTGGGCGTCGCCGCTGCGCGCGCAGCGGCGCGGCGGAGCCCGAGTCGGGCGGAAGGCAGCGGGCGCGGGCCGGGCCAGCTCACGCGGCCAGGAGACACGGGGTCCACCCACAGGGCCCCATAAGGGGGGACCGCGCAGCACCGCTCGCGAGGGGGGCAGCCGCGAGGGGGCACAAGAGGGGTGGAGCGGGGAGGGGGGGGGGGGCAAAGGGAGAGCGCGGGCGGCGGGGAGAGCCGTGCGGAGTGTCGGCGGCAGGGGAACGGAGAGGAGGCAGTGACAGACGACCGCTTGGGATCCCCATCTTCCCCCCCCCCCCCCTTCCATCCTCCCTATCCTCCCCTCCCCATCCTCCCCATTCCGAGGACGGGCCGCCTCGGGCCCCCCATCCTCCCCATCCTCGCCCTCCCCATCCTCTCCGGAGGGGCCCCACCCCCCTCTGCTTTCCCCATCTCTTTGACCCGCCGAGGTCACATCGCAGGGAGGGCACGGAGGGGGGGCGTGCCTCGGAGGCCCGGTCGGGGGGAGGGGGGGGGGGGCGCCAGCGAGGGCGCCCCGCAGGATGGCCTGGAGGCCCGGGGAGCCCGGGGCGAGACGAGGCCAGGGCCGGGACGCCCCCCGTCCTCCCCCTCCTCTTCCTCCAGCCCCGCCGGCGGTGTCGCTCCCTCCCCTGAGCGGACGCCGCGGGGTCGCGGCAGTCGCCATCCCCCGGCCCTGCTGCCCTCTGCTAAAAGGGGCCGTGCCCGCGCCCCCACAATGCCGCCTCGCTGGGAGGACAGCATTGGACCAGGACGCATCGGGACGAGATCTGGCGGTCCTGGAGGGTGGGATGCATCGGGCGCCGCGGCCGCTCCGGAGCGCTCCGTGGGAGCGCTGCGGAGCGCTCTGGCACGGCGAATCCCGGTCCCGAGAGCCCCGCTCGACGGGAGCCCCAGACGCCCAGGGTCTTGCCGCCAGGGGCGAGCGCTGGCGAGGGATCTGGGCACTGTGCAGGGGCACTCGGCGCTGGCGGGCCCTGAGATCTGGGTGCTGCATTTTTTTTACACTGGGCGTTGCCGCCCGGCTTTCGGGCCCCAGGGCCATGACAACTCGATACGAGTCGACAAATGCCGCAGAGAGAAAGAGTCTGCGGTCGGGAACTTTTGCATAGCGTGTCGCGGCTGCGGCCACGGCGACATGCTGTGCCTTGCAAGCGGATAGCGTGTCGCTCCGTTCCGCGTGGTGGGAGGCTGGGAACAACTCGGAACGTTGACACTTGGGAATGGGGACGTGGGTGGTGTCGCGACGAAGCGTGGTGCGTCAGAACCGGCGGAGCGACACAAAGTTCCTGACCGTAGGGCTCGAGTCGTGATGTTTCGCGACGTTGCATGTTTTGCAGCGTCGGATCGCAGGGACTGGCTCCAGTCCAAATGTGACATGTCCATGTGCAGCGCGCATGCCCATCGCTCGTCCGCGCGTGTGCGGGGCAAGAGGTCTCTCAATGCGAATGCACCCGCAGGGTCAAGCAGCCAAGCAACACGCATGTGGTAACACGGGGCTAAATTCGACGCAATCGCTGGATCCGGAGCTGTACGGAAAAGGCGTCCAAAAGCGAGTCCTCCATGGAGAACTCGCCGAGGCTGGCTTGAGGTAGGGCCTCCACCCGCTTCTTCTTTCTGAACCTGTTGGGGTCTTTGTACACGAAGTCGGGCCGATCGATCTCGACTAAAATGATGACCTGGGCAGCTGAAGAGGGAACGGGAATCAGTTGGCTTCGAGCGATCCCCACCAAAACCTTCGGCGTTTGATCCCGACGGTGCTCGCGCCCAGTGGAACGATGTGCGCATGGCCCGGTGATGTCGGCCAACGCGGCGGTCTGACCAGGTCGCAATTTGCCGTGCTCCTTGAATCCAACGAACCCAGAGCCCCTGACGAAAGAAACCAAACAAGACCTGGGGTGAAAAACTAGCCTCTAAAACGAATGGTACGAGACTCCAAAACATGTCCTCAAATAATGAGTAGGCGGAAGAAGAGCAGTAGCAGTATTAGAAGTAGTCGCAGTAGTAGTAGTGGTAGTAGTAGAAGTAATCAAAATAGAAGGCGTAGCGGTAGTAGTAGTAGTAGTAGTATTAGTAGTAGTAGTAGTAGTAGTAGTAGTAGTAGTAGTAGTAGTAGTAGTAGTAGTAGTAGTAGTAGTAGTAGTAGTAGTAATAGTAGTAGTAGTAGTAGTGTAGTAGTTAGTAGTAGTGTAGTAGTAGTAGTAGTTAGTAGTAGTAGTAGTAGTAGTAGTAGTAGTTAGCAGTCGTAGTAGTAGTAGTAGTTGTAGTAGTAGTAGTAGTAGTAGTGGTAGTGGCTAGTAGTAGTAGTAGTAGTAGTAGTAGTAGTAGTAGTAGTGGTAGTAGTAGAGTAGTAGTCGTAGTAGTAGTCGTAGTCGTAGTCGTAGCCGTAGCGTAGTCGTAGTCGTAGTCGTACGTCGTAGTCGTAGTCGTAGTCGTAGTCGTAGTAGTAGTCGTAGTCGTAGTAGTAGTTAGTAGTAGTAGTAGTAGTAGTAGTAGTAGTAGTAGTAGTAGTTTAGAGTAGTAGACGTAGTAGTAGTAGTTAGTAGTAGTAGTAGTACTAGTAGTAGTAGTAGTAGTAGTAGTAGTAGTAGTAGTAGTAGTAGTACTAGTAGTTAGTAGTAGCGTAGGTAGTAGTAGTAGTAGTAGCGTAGTAGTAGTGTAGTAGTAGTAGTAGTAGTAGTAGTAGTTAGTAGTAGTAGTAGTGTAGGTAGTAGTAGTAGTAGTAGTAGTAGTGGAGTCGTAAGTAGTAGTAGTAGTAGTATAGTAGTAGTAGTAGTAGTAGTAGTAGTAGTAGAAATAGTAATAGTAGTAGTAATAGTAGTAATAGTAGTAGTAGTAGTAGTAGTAGTAGTAGTAGTAGTAGTAGTAGTAGTAGTGGTAGTAATACTAGCAGTAGTGGTAGTAGTAGTAGTAGTAATAGTAGTAGTAGTAGCAGTAGTAGTAGTAGTAGTTTCAGCAGCAGCAGCAGTAGCAGTAGCAGCAGCAGTAGCAGTAGCAGCAGCAGTATCAGAAGCAGAAGCAGTAGTAGTAGCAGTA